TCATCTTCTGAAGTCCTTCATTGACATAGCACAGTGAATGCATTTCCGTTGCAGTCTGTATGCTCACTTGTCTTCCACCTTCATACCATATCTATCTAGTGCGTGTATGTGTTGTGTATAAACAAGTAGTTAAATTGTGTGTTACTCTTAAGGGCGCACTATATGCGTATGAGAATCTGAGGCATTTAAATGCCTAATAATAATTTCAGAAGCATTAAACAAAAGAATTCTCTGAGGATCTTGGGGTATCTGAAGTTGAAGTATAATTTGAACATTGATAATGAGAAGAAGTCATTAAAAAATTAAAAGAAAATGAAGTGCTTTATCTAAGCTCCCTATTTCGTGACATGAAACAAGCTCTTACAGCATTTTATTACATAAGTGCATTCCTCGGGGTTTTTTGACACAGACAGTGTTGCCCAATGTAGGAGGCAGAATTGTGGTTTTAATGGTGCATCAGCACGGTCAGTGTCATGTAGTTCATTTGAAATTGTTTTATTCTGGGAAGTGTTTCCCGGGAGTCTTCATGTAGGTGGCACTTGCAGTTGCTACTAGCATTTTTGAACCTTGTGACCATTACTCCTACTCTGATAAAGATTAGAAAACAGGTTACTTAAAATGATAGCGGTTACGGGCATTTGGTCTTCTTCAGATCTTTTTATTGGTAGGCCAGGTACAGCTGAGCTACCGTGGGGAGACTGGCCGTGTGTTCACGAATGGGTAACCACTGTTGTCTGTGCCCACTTGGCTTTGTTAGGATTTACTGCTTCCACCTCTTCAGTATTTGTATTCAGCGAGCAGTTGCAAGTGCTTACATTTAAAGAACTGTGTTGCAGGATACCATTTAAGGGTTTTTTTTCCTTAATCTGCATGTTACAGTGTAGATGAGAAATAGGAGGAAAGCACTGGAGATTTAAGAGGATGAGAGGTTTGAGTCAATCACTTGAGCTTCAACTTAGTAATGCAAATCTGGCTTTAAGTGACCTTATTGATGTTTGCTCAAAGTAGCTTCCTCTTGGTACAAATGACTGAGCTTTGTTGTAGCTATTGTACAGGTAATGTACTGTCCCTTTAGAGATTGACTTTGTATCCCTGATGCAACCTCTTCTTTGCTTTAACAGAGTGCCTGCAGAAATGCCTGGAGCTAAGATAGATTGCATCGGTGTGCCTCATTTGATCATCTGTCAGCAAGGAAGAGGGAGGATAGGGCAGGCAAAAACATGTGCCCATCTCTCTATCCCTGCTGTTGGAAATTTGAGGGTTTGGCTGTTGGTGAAGGCGGTTCAAGCAGAGAGCTTGATGCCAGAGAATGAAGGATGTGATAGCATATCTAAAAGGGTCCTGGCCACTTCTGTGACCTCGAAGAGAGGTGGCAAGTGACTGTTGCAAGTGTAGGCTGTGAGGGGGTGGCAGGATTTGGAGCAGTACTAGTAGGGTGGTGCAAATAGTGCTAAGTACCCATAGTTTGAGGAGTGGCATTGCATAATGAACAGTGCCATCTTCTGGGAGGAGGCGGAACGATGCCCTTGTGGCCGGCATTAAAGATGTTTAAAAAGTGTGTGGGGTGTTGGGAGTGGTTTTGGTTTGATTTTTTTTTTTCTCTCGATTAAATAAATGCTTTGCAAAAACAAAATAGCAGAAGTTGAAAGACCATGTTAATGCCTAATAATGCAAGTCCACATCTGTGAATTGTCATTGACACAGTCTTTAAGGAAAAGTTTTAAACTATGTTTTGCAGTCTGTTTAAAAGGAGAAAAGTTTATGAATTGCTGAGCAGTACTCCAGAGAAGTAGATCTCAAAAATGAAAGTTATGGACTTGGTCTGCTTTGTATGCTGAAGTGCGTTATTATTTTTGTAAATATACTTTGTAATACCTGTATAGAACATCTTTTTTCATAGGAAGCTTAGACCTAGAGGAAAATGCTAAAGATCCAAAGTAAAAAATATTATGTCTTTTATTGCTTTCAAATAGTTATAACTCCTTTTTTGGGGGGATGTCAGAAGGGAAAAAAGTGTTTTCTGTCTTAAAATTATTATTCTATAAATAGTTACATTTGGGAAATATTCACTGTGGTACAAAATCTGGGATTAGAGTTACTAAAATTATCCTAGCAAGTGGAATGTAAGATTCAGAATTTGCTGACACTCATTAATGGTGTCAGATCAATCACCTGAACTCTTATTTGGAGGAAGTGAGCAATTTTAGTAACATTAATGGAACTATAAGGGAGATGCAGCTGACATTGTGAGGAGGTTTCTTTGTTACACACTTTCAAATAAATAAATAAATTAAGGAACCCAAGCAAAAAGCTAGTAACAAAAGTATAACCATTATGGGGGCAGAGGAAAAGAGGAATCAGTGTGTTAAATGTCTTAATTGCTAAAATAAATTAGTTAAGGTATATCCAGAATGACAAGAAGTTGTGAGTTTTGGATCGGTAGATAGATTTGGAATAGGTTTTACTGCATCATGATTGTCTAGGTAATTTACTAGCAAAGATGCAATGGAATAATGATTTCTTTTTTAAAAAAAAAAATCTTTTGCATGTAAATTGTAAGTCTTTTCTGATTATGTCATATCAAGCATGCTATAAGCAGTACATTTTGTATTCTAGAGACTCTCATTTTAATGACTGTGGAGTCTGAGGTTTCTAGATAGTGCAGTACTTAACTGTACACTTAATTTGTAGTTAAAATGGTAATTGAATGTGTATTTACTTTTTCAATATTAGTGTTCGCTTGGTCTGTCACACAGTATTTAATTTATAAAGAAAACTTCTAACTTTCAGTATATTCGGAATGTTTAACAGCAGCATGAGTCGTTACTGTCTGATCTCTGTCTTTATGCAAGTCCTCAGTATTACAGTTAGGAGTTTCATTTCTGACATCTGAAAGTAATTTAGTGTTGACCCATCTTAACATGTTGATTTAAAGTTGTTGGTAAAAATCGAATGTTAGTTTCCACTGGGAGGGGTGGTGATCCTTGAGCATACCTCACACTATGTACTGTGTTTGCTTAGATACAGCTTCTTGTGTCTTGTAATTTAATAAGTTACTTCTCTGTAGTTTGGGAGTAAAGTGTCTGTAACAATATTTTGCTGCAAACTAGCCTGAAAAAATATTTCCCTATACATGGGGAACACTGCATGTACATAATCCTGTTAACCCTTAACTAGTTCGAGGTGATGTTTCACAGGTGCAGTGCTAGGAAATCCTAGTTCAAACCATCTGTAAGAGTTGTAGTTTAAGACAGGTGAACAACTCTTTCTGAAATCAGACTTAAAGATTTTCAGAGTGGACAGCACAGTTTGTTATTATTCAGGTTCCCATTAGCTTGGAAAATGCTGTTCCAAATATCTGGAAAACATTGAATAAATGAGATACTGAATAGATGAGATAAGGAAAAATGTGAAAAATCCGGTTCAAAAGGAAGAAATGTAGTGCAGCTGTCACTGAAACTGCCCTCTTTTCCATCTGGCTGAGAATTTGAGCAGTGGCATAAAATATAAGCAGCAAGGTGGTAACTTAACATTAAAGTAGATGCTGACCATCTCTCTTGGGTTTCCTGTATCATAATCTTGTTTTCTGCTTGATAAGATGTAGGCTAAGCAAACAATAGTATTTCAGGAAAGACATTAGAAAATCTCTGGTTTTAAAACTAAAATTGTACTGATTAGAAATATTTTTGTTAGTAACTGAAAAAGCTTTTTTAATGAATACTGCATAATAATTATGCAAACTGCAGGATGCCGATGGAGTAGATAACTTCAGGGAGGTAGTGGCCAGCAGGTCGAGGGAGGTGATTCTGCCCCTCTACTCTGCTCTGGTGAGACCCCACCTGGAGTATTGCGTCCAGCTGGGGAGCCCTCAATATCAGAAGGATATTGACCACTTGGAGTGAGTCCAGAGGAGGCCACAAAGATGCTCAGAGGGCTGGAGCACCTCTGCTATGGGGCCAGGCTGAGAGAGTTGGGCTTGTTCAGCCTGGAGAAGAGAAGGCTCCGGGGAGACCTCATTGCAGCTTTCCAGTATCTGAAGGGGGCCTACAAGGGTACTGGGAGAGGACTTTTTACAAGGGCCTGTGGTGACAGGACAAGGGGTAATGGGTATAAATTGATATCAGGGAGGTTTAGATTTTATCTCAGAAAGAAGTTCTTCATGGAGAGGGTGGTGAGGCACTGGAACAGGTTGCCCAGAGAAGCTGTGGATGCCCCATCCCTGGAAGTGTTCAAGGCCAGGCTGGATGAGGCTTTGAGCAACCTGGTCTAGTGGAAGGTGTCCCTGCCCATGGCAGGGGGGTTGGAACTAGATGATCTTTAAGGTCCCTTCCAACCCAAAGCATTCTATGATTCTATGATAATATGATTCTATATATTGAAGCCAACCCAAGAATAATGTATACTGTGTAAATAGTAGTTCTGTCCTAATCGGAATACATCTGTGTGTGCCGGAATTACGAATTCTGTTTTACAGCAGTTGCTGATGTCCTGTTTTGAAAACTATGTGCCGTTTGTTGTTTATTTTTGCTTTGCTCCCCACCCACTCCCCAGTAGTCAGTATCAACTACAGTGGAGCAAGTGGCAATAGATTGAAGTTGCTTAAAATTTGTGGTGTCTATTCCTCCTCTAGCCCAATAATACAGTTTTTTAAAGATCCCTTTAGGAGTACATGAAAACATTTACTAAAGCCTGAGAAGAAAATTCCTTAAACAATTTATATCAAACACAATTTATTCTTAATCCTGCTTTTATATTGTATGGTAGGAGCCTTTTTCAAAACTCTTACGATATTTATCAGCACCACTTAATTATAGACAACAGGCAAATTACACTTAATTTTAAAGAAAAGTTGACAAAGCTTAATGGTTTTCTGACTGATGGCTAGCAGGTATTTTACTTGGTTAAAACTTGAAGGCATTTTATTCTAGATCCCTTAGATCTTGTGCACTAGTGAATTAATAAGCCTGACTTTTTTCACATCTTTTCACACGCAGGCAGAAGGAGAAGACAGCCTTAAAAAGATGCAGCTGATGGAGCTTGCAATTCTGAATGGCACCTACAGAGATGCCAACATCAAATCACGTAAGCATGTCATAAACACGAGGGTTAATGCCATAGTAATGTTTGCAGGTTTTGATTCCTAAAGCTACATTTTGGCAAATATACAGTAGCAACTCTGTTGGAGAATGGGAAGGCAGTAAAAAAACAGCGGAACAGTAGGTAGCCATTCCAAAAGATCATCTACAGATAAGTTATGTCAGTTTGGGTTTTGTTTGTTTGTTTTTCCTCTCTTTTTTAAAACACTGTCTGGGTTGAAATATTTACAAATATATAGTTTAAAAAATTCAACCCTTAAGCCATATTTTTCTATTTTACAATCTTTTTTTTTTCCTCAATACATATAAAGGACAATGGACTCCTTTTCAATTTTACCTTTAGAGGTTTAGTTTGAAAATGTCACAGATGTTCAGGATACTGTGGATACATTTTTCTGTATTATATTCCTTCCTTTCATCTTGCTTGCATGTGTCCCCCCAGTGTTACGTTTTTCCAACAATTCATCAACTGATTTCACAGCTGAGTTCACAGAGATCAGTGATGTAATGAGCCATGTTTATGATTTCTTCCATTACATTTGTGTGAGAATGCTTTTGCAAATGCATGTATGCACACGTTTACCTTTGAAAATTAATTATGCACACCTACTAATGAGAGCATATACCTATTACGTGTGGTACAAATTACTTTCTCTAGTTGAAAATCTGAATTCTCCTCCTGAAAATGTAGTTGCTGATACTGTTCCAAAGTAAATTTTTGCTGTAGCTGTGATACAGATGTCAAATGTAAGCACAGTTAAATCAGTCTTTTCACTAAGGGCCTACTGATATTTGCAAATTTGTTGCTCCACACAGTCACCATTTCAATGTTGAATATGTTTAAAGGTTGGAATGCAGTTAGGTCCATTTGAGAGTGCTTACAGCAGTGTAATTATTCTGATTTGAAAAGAGACATAAGCATGGGCTTTTACCACTACAGTGGTGGTGGTAAATCTATCAGCCCTAATGAACACCATAATATTTAAAGCTAGATCAGTTTAAAATATATTTTAGTCTGTTGCAAATTTATGAGTAAAACAGCTTTCAGATTATCTTAAATTGATGCAAACTGTTGCATAGAAGCCTTTATATTAGTTTGAGCACTGGCTAGAGACTTCTGCACTAATGCTCACTTTTTGATATTAAGACAATTTCACTGTTTGTGTTTTGATTTTACTGAAAATGTGAAGATCTAGAAGGCATACTGATTTATTTTCATTTAAGAAAGGAAAGTGTTTGAGGTTTTTTTTAATTATACTTTAAGTCTGAGCACTCTTGCTAAAAAATTAAAAATAATTTAAAAAATGCAACAGTCTCAAATCTTAACAAACTTCCCCCATATTTCTCTCTTCAGACTGCCTGTAAGTTAATTGAATCAATGTAGAACAGCAGCAGTGCATTGAAGTCTATAAATTATAACCCTTTATGAGTGACACTTACCAGCTGATGTGTTAGTGTTTGAGAAGTTGTTCATCTTGTGTGCCAACAGGCTTCAAATAACAGTTAATGAAATGGGCTAGCACTGTATTAAAAAAAAACCCAACCACATATATTTTCTTTAACCTAAGCAAGGCAAGAGTGGGCTTCTAATACAAAGAAAGTATTTTGTTTGGGGGAATTTGATATGGAAATCACTTTTGAGTCTGTTTTATTCATGCTAGATGAGGAGAGGACATGCGTTGGGTTTCTGGGTCATCTTTAACTTTACTGATCCTGGAAACTGGAATTATTTATATGATCAAATACAGTTTTAAGACGTCTGAAAACTGTAGACGTGTATAACAGCTCTGCATAACTGAGTATCTGTGGACTCCATAGGTGCACTAAGTTTTGTACTCTGTATTTGATTATGACAGTGTTTTTCTTGTATCTCCTGCATGCATCTCAGTCTCATGCAGTCTTGATAGCATAAATGAAGAAATGTGGTCTAAATGGAGCTTTTGTGCTGTGTAACCTGTTTGAGAAATCTACCTCACTGTTTTACAATGGCTTTTTTATTTTGCATGTTCATACTTAATCACACTGGAAAATGAAAAGCTGTTTGCATTTGAATGGTGTGCTTTGGCACTGTGTGATCAGCGCATGTACTAATGATTTCCTTTTATTTTTCTTCTTTCCTACTTTTCCCCTTTTTTCCCATTCTTTCCACGTTTTGTACTGCTATCTCCATACTTTCCTCTGAATTTCTTTGCTTACTGTAGCAGCCCTTGCCTTTTCTCTTGCAGCAACAGCCCAGGCTCCAAGGATTATTACTGGGCCTGCGCCTGTTCTCCCACCAGCTGCCCTGCGTACTCCTACGCCAGCTGGCCCTACCATAATGCCTTTGATCAGACAAATACAAACCGCTGTCATGCCAAACGGAACTCCTCATCCCACCGCTGCAATAGTTCCACCTGGACCCGAAGCTGGTTTAATTTACACACCATACGAATACCCCTACACGCTGGCACCAGCTACATCAATCCTTGAGTATCCTATTGAACCTAGTGGTGTATTAGGTAAGAGCTTCGTACGCGGATGGCTGGAGCATATAGTGCTTACGCTTTTGTGAAGTTTGCGAGGTAGAGGTCGTGGGGATCAAAGAAATAAATTTGAAGCAAAGATCTCAGGTATATCAAAACTGCCTAGGACACCTGCTCAAATGGTGTAACTCTTAAACATTTTAACATGTTTTGGGTTACTTAATTATATGTTTAGTATATTAAGAAGATTAATGAAAATGAGATCTTAATGTTTGTATGACACTAGATGATGAATACATAAGCAAGGGAAAAAACCTCCAATAGAAGTTGACATCTATTATATGTCTTTTGGGCTCCCATAAATACCAGGTTTGTTTGTGCTCTCTTCAACATAAATTAATTTCTAGTAATCTTTGAAAGAGAGAACTTCCTGGTTTTCTATACCTTTTCAGTAGCAAAGCTGAAGAGAATGGAAAGGTCGTCTTTGTGTTTGTTGCAGCTTTTACGTCTTTATTTAGTACACAACTGAAAAATCTCCCTCAGCGTCAGAAAGCTGTAAATCACTTTCTAAGCAGAAAATAAGTTTTGACCAAAGTATGATACAATTAGCAACTTTACTGATGGCTTCTTATATATATGCACTGGGTTGAAACATCCATCATTCCTAATATTTCAGACCACTGACTTGCTGTATGAAGGCCGGAATGATAAAGCAGCCGTGACAGTTCAGTTAACTGGTCAATATGAAACAAGCAGTTCCGATAGTTTCTTCTTTCCCT